ACTGCAGGTCTCTAGCTGCTTCCGTTCTCGAGATATTCGGTCTAGAGTTTTCCCCATTTATTTCTGGCGTCGACAATAGTTGAGATTAAAATTTTGAAGTCAACTAGTTCACTTCGCAACGCATTTCAATATCAACTAGTTGACTTCAAAATTTTAATCTCAACTAGGAATAATTAAAATTTCAATCTATCATAGTTCGATTTAAAACTGAACTGGATTTTAATTTATCCTACGACATACACACACAAACGTATTTTATTTCATATGACCCTCCCTACAGTCAAGAGAAATATCAAAATAGGTTGAATGGAACTCGACTTATAGATTTTATTCTTTATAAGATCCAATGGTACAGCTGACGTGCGTTTCACTCACTTTAGCCTTAAGGGATCTGATCGGTCACAATACCCATCTCCAAAATATATGATTGGCCACCTATGCAGTCGCAAAGAATATGATTGGTCCAAAGTTGAGGGTCGAAAGAACCTGATTGGCTGACTCTCACACTCAGAGGAATCTCGTTGGTCGATGGTTTGGGGCGCGGGGGTTGGGGGAAAGGGGTGAGATACCTGCTTAACTGTTTCGCTAGCTTCTACGAATTTGATTGGACGACAGCTGTGTAAGAAAGTCATCGTTTTGTGTTTTTTGACCTTTGATCTGACGACAAGCAAACAAACAAACTATTTATTTTCATATGACCCTCCCTTCAGTCGAGGGAATATTATTAAGGGACCAGTAACAATTTATTCATTGCTATTTTTCTTGAGATTGTTTTTGTTTGACATAATCGATAGTATTGGCACAACGATGGACGTCTGGATGATCCAGTGAAAGTGTATTGCGATAAATAGAAGCCGCTCTATTTAAAAAGACTAACGATCGTTGATAGTCACTCTTTGATAAGTAATATAGACTCATATTGTAGTAAATTTTTGCTATAGATGGATGTTCGGATGGCAATGATATTTTAAAGATATCCAAAGCTTGTTCAAAATACTGAAGAGCACAATCATATTTGTTCTTGAGAAAATAAACATTACCTATATTGTTAAGCGTCGTTGCAATATCAGGATGCGTGTGTGGTAAAATTGTTTTTCGAATATTCAACGCAACCATATAATATTCAACTGCTTCAGTGAACTTACGTTGCTCGCAATAAGTAGCGCCCAAATTATGGAGGCAATTGGCAATTGACTTATCTTGATTGCCAGGCAATTCGTGAAAGATATTCAATGCTTGACTATATTTATCGATGGCTTGATTAAGTTCTCCTTTCATGTGGTGAATATTAGCCAAATTTTGTAAACATCTAGCAATTCCTGTACGATCTCTCATTTGTTCATATTTTTCCAACGACTTGCTTAAGCATTGAGAACTGATCTCTATCTCTCCTTTTGCTTTTTTCACAAGCCCTATTGAACCCCAAAGTTCGGCAACCAATGGATGATCATTTTCCAATTCATTCAACATTCTATTATAGAATTGTTCCGCTAGATCATACATTCTTGCCGTACGCAGTACATGACCAAATGAAAAACATTCATGATATTTATCATTTTCCATTTGCATATGTTTTAAAAGAAGTTTCATATCATGATCATAATTTCCACTACATAGTTCCATTTGAATAACAGTAATTTCGTTTTCTTGTCGAATGTTAACAAGACGGAAGATGGATGCAATCATAAACAGAATTTCTTTTTCATCTCTGAATTGACTTTGCGAACTAATATCAGCAAATGGCTTTGCTCCATAAGATAAATGTGGATCAACATCGATTTCGAATATAACAACACAAAGATCTCCAAGTTTAGTTGGAACGAACATACGAGATATTTCCCGATCAAGACTTGTTGATAGAAATGAATTCATCGATATGCATTGTCCGTTAGATTCTTTCAAAACATCTAATTCTTGTTTTGACATATATTGACCTCGATAAACACGAATTGATTTTTGAGCTTGCTTTCGTTTTAATTTTTTTAGCTGTTTATATAAATCTTGAATAAAGAATCGGAATAGAAATAAAACATTGACATTCTGAATTCGTAGAGCTTTGTTGAGCATTTCATAGAGAAACTTTTGTCTTGAATACCAATTGAGAGCTCGTTCCGGAACATATGATTCTTCGAATTCTTTGATTATGGACAACTGTTGACGATTGTCTTGATATTCCTTTTTGCATAGATCGAAAAATTTATCTCGACTTGTTTGATCATATGGATAGTCCAGTAGACCATTAATGAAAAGTTGGAAATGAAGAAAACGACCGTTGATATTTGTTGAAGAACGTTCTTCATTGAAAGCAGGATTGCATACACTGATAAGTAGAGGTTCACCGAACCATTTCTCCCTACTCTTTCGATTCATGTTGATCTTCTCAATTAGTTCATATAAATCTGTAACAGGTGCTGGAGTTCTAGTAAATTTTGATGTCAACTCGTGATGTCTACTCAAATTTAAATAATAGACATATATGGAGCTGATTTGTATCAATGTATGACTAAGAGGAACAACCACAAAGCCCAATTGTCCACTGGCGATTAATAGAATTTGATCATCTTTTGATTGACGAATGTAAATTCCACATTCAATGGTATTTTCGAACACTCTTAAATGATTAATAGTCGAGAGAAGCTTTTGTTGAACGTTACGATGCTCATTGGAATTAATTAAATCATCAACCCATAGAGGAAAATATGTTTTCAAATTATCACTCTTCATTAACATTGAAGAAACCGAAGGCACTAATAAAGCATTAGATGATGCCATTTTCAGAGTAAACTTGATATTTAGGGGTGCAACAAATCCTACTTTTCTACATAAAGATTGTAAATTTTCGATATGAAGGCCCATCAAATCCAA